AGGCCTGTTTGAAAGTAATCACACCACCTCATCCCACTTCTCCCTTGTCTTTCCTTGTTAGCCAGAGTGCAGTCTGCTCATAATCTCCCTTTTTAGGAGCAGCTTTACTCCTGGGAAGCACTCCCAAAGAGAAATCACGTTTCCCTAGCTTCCCTCCTTCCTTCTCATAGCTGGGTTCACGCTGCATGAGAACATGTTTGCTGAACACCATCCAAAGCAGCAAATTGAGATTCTTTGATTTGGGGAAGAACTTTGGGAGGAATCTTTCAGTAATTGGCATGAGATAAGAGAGGACCTAGTCCAAACCCATTTGGGGCTTGCAGCAGGGAGGATCAGTTCAGAGAGAGGTGAGTGTACAGGTTGCTTGCTTGCTTTGTCATCTGTCTGTTTCAGCAGAGGCTTCCAGAGCTGGCTTGGGCTGTCTGGCTGGAATCTGCTTATACTAGCTCCATGGCACAGCACAGAGAGTTCTCGGCCTGATTCAATATTGACTTAACTACCCTGAGACCACTGCCCTCCCTGCCCTCCTGCTGGTAGCTTGAGAATGCCCTCTCTCCTGATGCCAACCCCCCTTGGGGTTTTGGGTAACCATTTACCTGGTTCCTAGTAGGGCTTGAGCCTGCTTGACTGCTCAGCCCTGTGTTTCTACTAGGAATAAGTAGTATTCAATCTCTATCTCTACCATTGAGGTTAAGGGGGGAAAGATGAGCTGAGACCTCCTTAAAGCAAGGTTTGAGTTAGACCTTAAAACATGAGAAGGAACTTCTCAATAGCAGAACAGATAGCCTAGAGTGATGTGGAGTCTCTTTTTTTTTCTTTATTAAAAATTTTAACCCTACTCCAATTTGTGGAGTCTGTTCTGAAGAGCAACTTTTTAAAAATCATTATTAAAGGTATATGTGTACTTGGTAACAAATATAATGGTGCATAAAAGTTTATGATGAAAATTAACAGTCCCTTTCCATTTATCCCTACTCCTATTCCTTTAGAGTTAACCTCTTAATTAGCTGAGTATTTACTTTTTAAAAAAAATATATGTTTTTATTGATTTTTAGAGAGAGAAGAAGGGAGAGAGAGATGGAAACATCGGTGAGAGAGAAATCGATTGTCTGCCTCTTGCACACCCCCTACTAGGGATCGAGCCAGAAACCCCAGGCATTGAACCAGCTACCTCTTGGTGCATGGGTCAATGCTCAACTACTGAGCTACACCGGCCTGGCTCAGTGTTTACTTCTGAAGGTTATTGCCAGAGCTTTAGATAAAATGCTTGCGTCTCTATTCCTTGATTTATTAATTGTTACAAAGAGGATTTAGCTTTAGAGGCTTTATACCTCTTGTCTATATGATTATGTCATTTTTATTTCATTATTAAAAAAACCTTAAATAACATATATGAACATCCCTTTCTTTTCCATTAACTTTTAACTACCCATCTTGTGGGATGAAGATACTGACTCCACTTCCCTTTTTCCAACTCATATGATCCATCTCAAAGGGATCTTTTAAAAGGAGGAGGAAAATTGATCTCACCTATCTCTTTGGAGGCAGAGCACGAAATTAGATGATGTCTTAAAGGCCATTCTATGAAAATACAGGAACATTTAAAAACAATCCATATTTATTTAGTCCATGGAAAAAGATTTGAAGAAGGGAATGGTGAGAAACTGGGTAAAGGGATTGAATCGTGGCTCTTTACCATCCTGTCTTAGCAGAGACCAGTTCAGTAAGTCCTTTAATGGAAGCCAGTGGAGGGTTGTTTGCCTAGAACCTTTGAGGTGAAGAGAAGCGGAAAGTCAGGTTAAGTGATAACATCCCCTCCCCACAGAGTCCTCTGGAGACATTTACCTAAAATGCTCAATCACACAGAACACATGCCTGTGAACTCCTCTGTCCTTTTCAGCTGCTGCTCTCCTCTGCACCCCCTGATGCTCAGATGAGGATTCCCGACATTGCCCAGACATAGCTGTGGAACCCAGTCAGTTGTCAACATTTTCACTCCCCTTTCCTAGAAGCCAGCTGCTACGCTGGGGCGGGGGAGGCCTCTTCAATTCCCTTCCAGTCTCATTGGAAGGCCAGATTAGGCTCCTAGTGTAAAATGTGGAGCCTAGTTGTCCGAATGTCATTGAGAGCCATGGGAGTCATTTGATACTAAAGGTTTGGATTTTCTTCTCTTTTTCTTATTCTCTGGCTTACAAGGGGGAGGGTGCTGAATGCAGGACCTGTTTCTTCCTTTTCCTTTCACTTTCTTGTCCTTTCACTTTCTTTAGAATGATTACTTATCAGAGCTGTATTTTCTTTGCATTTGAAAGTGAATGAATTGATATTGAGTACTGTATCTGGATTTAGGTTTTAGAGAATCCCTTTCCTATTTTTTATTGTCTAAATTGCCAAAAACAACCTAAATTCCCTTCAATACCTCCCTTTCCCCATGTCTTGATTCAGATGCAGGCAGTCCCTGAGGCTCAGAGAGACCAGGAGGGAGGCCCAGCTCCAGTTTGGCAGTTTCTAGTGGCAGAGCTGCTTCTATAGGAGAGAAATCTGGTTTTCCTGCACCTCTTGACATCATCTGGTTCCCTGGGGAGTAAAGGCTGCCAAATGGGGTTTCTGTTCAGTGGGAAAGTCCCCTGAATACTGTGATATGGGATTCCTAGCTGAGCCCCAGGAATGAAAGAAATGATGTTATTCTTACCTCTTTTCCTGGTGCCAGTAATAATCCCCACTGTGATCAATTGGGGCAGATAACTGCTGCATTTGCTAGTGAGATCTGAAACACTGCATATGGGAAGATGTCTTAACTTAATTTTCCTTGGAAGTTTTGAAAAGTGGACTTTATGAGGTTTTGGTCACTTAAAAGTCTCTGGAATAGAGAAAAAGGGAAAGATGTGCCAAGCATAGAGAGACTGAGAAGAAAAAGAGCTGTTTGCATTAAATGATTGAGGCTGTCATGTGAGTTTCTAAGTAGACCTAAAAGGTAGTGGTCCTAGTTGGATTAGAATGACCTTCTGGTGCAGAGTGCCCTACAGAGGCGTGGCAGGGGATGATTAAAGCTTATTATTCCTGTGCAACCCATAGTTGCGAGTAGAGACATATCCACATAGGCAGCCATGCTGGTTCTACTGCTCAGAAGGCACTGCATAATTTGGGGAAAGAGTAGAGTGAAAGAGTTGCCACCTTTTTTACTGATGCCAAACTCAAACTACGTCAGGGCTATTAAATTCGGAGATGAACTCCTTGCTTGACAGAGTTGAGAGGAAGATAACTGAAGTAGCCTTTTTTGGTGATCTCTGAGAACAGAAGAGTTCTGCTTCTGCCTTCCTGCAAGACTTTCACGTTAACTGCTGAGAGACAGGGAGCTAGACTACATAATATTGGGCAGATCAAAGTAACCTTGACTTATAACATTTCAGAGATGTAAGAAGAGGCACGGGAAGGGTGGCAGTGGAAAATGGGGCTTTCCAGAGTAACTAGTGAATCTGTATCTGGAACCTCCTTCAGAGTATATGCACCCAAGTTCAGTAGGGTCAAAGATGATGTCACTATTAGTTGGAAATTACCTGTATTCCAGCTCTACAGTAGCCTCTGCCTTCCTGTTGCCCACACTCTTGGCGCATGTCTTAGACTCACTCTCTCTGCATTTTTGTGAGGAGGCCTCTGAGCCCATTGCTGACTAAAGTCAGATTTTGGAGCTGGGTTGATCTGACATTAACAATGTGCCTCTCCCAGTCCTTTGAAATTTCTTCCTGTTCTGCACTGATTCTCCTGATCTGGATTTGGTGAGGCTCTGGAGAATCATTCTAGGAAGGCAATGGCTTTTGTAAGCAGTGTTCTCTCACTGAATTTCCTTGCAAGAGTTCCTCCAGAGATTCTTAGTTATGTAATTCCTGCTCCCCCTGTTCTTTACCCATGTTCTAGACCCATGAGATCCAGCCTGATCCCCCCCTGCCCAGCCCCTCCGGTTTTTGGAGTGTGTGTATGATAATGGGGAAAGTAGTGTTGGGTTAGCAGAGATTTTCAAACAGCGAGGTAACTAATTCACTTCCCTTTCAATAAACAGTATATGCATGTGCATGCACATATATACACACATACTGTTTACTAACATTTTCAGTAATTAGGATTCAACTAGCATTTATTGAGTACTACTTTGTGTCAGGGACTATGCTAGATCTTTTTACCTTGCATGAAGTCATTTATTCTATGTGGCAACAGTGAGAAATAGAATGTTTTTCCCATTTTTGCAGTCGAGGAAACTGATACTCAAAAGATACATGACTTGCAAAAGTTTATATATCTGATAATGGCAGAATTTTGAACCCCAGCCTATATGACTCCCAAGTTCAGGACTCTTTCCACTATACTTTAGCTGCCATAGCACTGGAGAAAAATGACATCATGAAGTCAGACAAATGGCACAACTTCAGCAGGGTGGACGATAGTTGTTTTAGGCTGTTTATTCCTAAATGAAGCCTGGCCTGGTATTTGCTGGCCTTTAATCCTTAGGTACTTTGATTCTGAAAGGGAATGTAGAAATGTATGTTTTACTAGAAATATACATTAAGACTTTAATACTAAATAAAGGTGAGATGCTCAGGACCTTTGTATGGAGTGTTATATGAGTAAGGAAATACAGTTTAAAGAGGAAAAGACAAAGGTTATGGGCAGGCATTTAAGGGGAGACATGGGAAGAGCAGAAAGATAGAATGGGGACAAGGGAATAAGACCAGAATTGCTTTTTAGTCTAGCTGAAGAATTTGTAAACCTATATAAACATAACACATATAAAGCAACATTTTGCAAATACAAATTAGGAACAGAGCCAAGCTGAGTAACTAAATGCAGAAGGAATAAAGAGGGAAGCAGTGTTCAGAAGTGGAGGTAGCCAGGGAAAGTTTCTTGGTGGGAGATGACTTTTCAGCTGTTTTTGAAGGAGTCCAGGAAGACAAAAAGAAAGGAGGTGCCTGGGAAGGTTTCATGGCAGAGGGAAGATCTGAGGATGGCACCACTAATCAGTATGTGTATGTGTCTCCCTTTCTGTTCCTTTTTCCTTCCTTCCTGTAGCTTGGAAGCTCGAAGTCTGGCTGTGGCCATGGGAGATACGGTAGTGGAGCCTGCCCCCCTGAAGCCAACTTCTGAGCCCACTCCTGGGTCACCAGGAAATAATGGGGGCTCCTTGCTAAGTGTCATCACGGAGGGGGTCGGGGAACTATCTGTGATTGACCCCGAGGTGGCCCAAAAGGCCTGCCAGGAGGTGCTGGAGAAGGTCAAGCTTTTGCATGGAGGCGTGGCCGACTCTAGCAGAGGCGCTTCACAGGAACTGGTCAATGGGGATGGTGTGGACAGTGCTATCCGCTGCCTGGACGATCCTCCTGCCCAGATAGCAGAGGAGGAAGATGAGATGGGGGCCACTGTGACCTCGGGCACAGCCAAGGGAGCGAGAAGGCGGCGGCAGAACAACTCAGCCAAACAGTCTTGGCTGCTGAGGCTGTTTGAGTCAAAACTATTTGACATCTCCATGGCCATTTCATACCTGTATAACTCCAAGGAGCCTGGAGTGCAAGCCTACATCGGCAACCGGCTCTTCTGCTTTCGCAACGAGGACGTGGACTTCTACCTGCCCCAGTTGCTTAACATGTACATACACATGGATGAGGACGTAGGTGATGCCATCAAGCCCTACATAGTCCACCGCTGCCGCCAGAGCATTAACTTTTCCCTCCAGTGTGCCCTGCTGCTCGGGGCCTACTCTTCAGACATGCACATTTCCACTCAGCGACACTCCCGTGGGACCAAGCTACGGAAGCTGATCCTCTCCGATGAGCTGAAGCCAGCTCACCGAAAGAGGGAGCTGCCCTCCTTGAGCCCAGCCCCTGACACAGGGCTGTCTCCCTCTAAAAGGACTCACCAGCGCTCTAAGTCAGACGCCACCGCCAGTATAAGTCTCAGCAGTAACCTGAAACGGACAGCCAGCAACCCCAAGGTGGAGAATGAGGATGAGGTAAACCCCGGGAAGGTCAGAGGGGCCAGGCGGCGCGCAGACAGGATGTCTGGCATAGGGTCACTCTGTCCTCTTCTCTCCTTCCATCTGTTTCATTTCACTGATAAGAGCATGGAATGTTAGAATGGAAAAAACCTTAGAATTCATGTATTCCAGCTGCCTCATTTTACAAAGGAAGAACTCAGAGACCAGGGAGATAAAGTGACTTGTCTCAGGTCATATAGCTAATAGCAAGGCTGATACACCTGACTCTGTCCAGCGTTGTGTTTACTAAACTGCACTGCCATTCCATTAACTCCTTACTTAATGAGAACTGTGGCACAGACCCTCCTCACCCTGACTTGAGACCTGGGATATCTACCAGAATCTCTCAGAGCAGCAACCACGGGGAGGAGAAGGGACTATGTGTGTGAATTTTGTGTGTGCTGGGGGAGGGGAGATGTTAAATAGAACCTCAGCTTCATTCTCCTGACCACTCCTCATAATCCCTCCCTCCCACTCCCTGAAGATCCTGCTTTTTGTTTTCATAAGGGTAAGGTTCATTACCTATCACTGAGGCATCTGCAGAATGCCTCCTACGTGCCTTTCTTTAGGTGAAGGGATGTTGATCTTTCCCAAATCATTTAGGAGAAGCACAAAGGAAAGAAGGAAAGCAATCTTGGTATAGAGTAAATCTTGGGCATACCCAGTGTCTAGAAAGAAGAGAAAGCTACAGCAGCAGTTGTGGATATCCATTTAGGATACGGAGCAGGGAAGAGATAAGCACATCAGTAGGTTATACTCACCTTCCATTCCACATCTGGACAGATAGCAGGGGAAGGTGCCCAGTGGACAACCAAGTGTCAGTGACCTGGTGTCCCAGCCAGACAATGGTGCCCCAGTTCCCCCCTCTGACTCACCACCAGCCTGGCTCTCATCCTGGCTCCCAGCCCAGCCTAGGAAAGAAGGGAGAAAAGAATGAGGAATGTGCACTGGTTGGAAAATGCATATAGCCGTGGTGCTGGCATCTGCCTCTGTGGGGCACATAACTCACCCACATTTTTGATACAGTGGGACTTCTTTCAGCTAGAAGGAGGTCAGTGACTAGGGAAGGGAAAATACAGGAAGGAAGGCTATGGATCCTGCTTCCTCTGGAAATTCAATATTTTATTGTGGTAATTTAATAATAGTGAGGCCAAAAGATCTAACGTTTATTGAGCACTTATTATGTACATCATGTCATTTACATTTAATCCTCACAACAACCCTAGTAGACAGGTTTATTTTACCATTGAGTAGTCAGGCTTAGAGAGATTAGATGATTTGTCCAAGGTCTCTCAACTAGTGTATGTCAAACTAGGTCTCACATCACAGCTAATCATTCAGCTGGTCTGCCTTGGTTATTTCTCAGCATCTGCTTTCCCAGGTTCTCAGCCTTCAGAGTCCTGTGGGGAAGAACATCCCAGGCCTTAGCCATCTAGGTGTCCACATCCATGCATGGGCAGAGTTCACCTGTTCTCAGAACCACAAAGGACCATTTTCATTCCTGGTTGTGCTTGGCAGGGAAGCACAAGGTCATAAGGGAGGTTGTTGTAGAGCAAGAGGAATCATCCAGATCTGGAGGGACTGAAGTCATGAAAGGTTTGGGAGCTCTTCCTCTTGTGGTCAAGCCTGTGGCAGTATGAGTGTGAGCACTTGGAAATGAATCCTTGGTGCATCTTGTCAGGCTTGCCTTTTCTCTGTGTGTGTTTTGTGTCCTCCTAGCACCAGAAGGGGTGAAGCCTCAGGGCTTTTCTTTCTCTGTGCTGATCCGTAGTCCCTCTTCCTTCCATCTAACTCCTGCCCAGGTGGGATTATGGGTGACGCACTGAGATGCAGGTCTTTTGTGAGTGCCTAAATCCTCCAGGGTGTCGTCTCCAGCTGCCACTCTTCCCAACCTGGCTTTATGGTGGGACACCAGATCTAGGGAAGGAAGGAGATACTACATCCCCAGCCTCCTATAGTATCTGATGCTGGCAGAATGAGACACCTGAATCCACTGGGGCTCCTCAGGAAACATGAGAGTGAAAGTGAGAGAATAAACATGGGTATCACTAGGAGTCTAAGCATTGGAATCCTCAGCACAGAGGTCTCTCCACATGCCTTTGGCATTTTGAGAATACATCTATCAAGGCCTTTTCTTCCCTGTCATGCAGCACTTATTCACTCAACAAATAGGTATTGAGCTTGTACAGTGTGTGAAGCCCTGTGCTAGAGGCAGTGGAGGGTGGAAGACAATGCTATCCTTCTCTCCAGGGACTTACAAGGTAGTATGCAGACCCCATTATCTATGGCACTGTTGAGTTTATGACTCTTGATTTTGTGTCCTGAAACTTTACTAAATTTATTCTAACAGTTTTTGGTGGAATTGTGACTCTTGAAAAGCTGTTTAATACATATAAGGAAGACGTATACAGCTATTAACACTAGGCACATAATTATCTAAGGTCTGAGCAGAGACTCTATGAGAGGCTAAAAGGAGACCTGACTCTCTGTTCCCCATCCCTTGCTTTCCCCGTGGGTTCTGAGTGCAATCCTATGCTCCTACCACCAGTAGAGGTGCTCTGGAGGGTGAGGCCCAGAAAAGAGGCTGCAGTCTTTCTGCAGAGCTCTTTGCCCAGATCTCAGAGACGCTCCTATTTTTTTTTAAGGAGAGATCCTTTACACTCTCCCCATAATCAGAGGGCTCTAACACAGCTTTGTCCCCTCTCCCATCCCCAAAGCCCACCCCTTCAAAGCAGTTTTTATCAGCCTAATCAGGAAACTGTGCTCAGTTTCCCTTCCCATTTGTGACCAAATGGTAAATCATTTGGCACAGGGTGGGAGCACAGTTAGGTCCCACCCTAAACCCTGCCCTATATAATGACACTGCAGTAGATCAGCTTTGTCTTTTCAGAACTGCAACCTTTGTACAGAGAAATCTGCTGCATGTCACACTGGAAGCCCCAGTGGGCCTTCCAGCCTGATATGGTGTGATATCAGCTTCTTGGCCTTAGCTTTTCTTCTTGGAGCTGACTCAGTATGAGTGACTCAAGTCTACAGAGTAGGAGAGAGGAGCCAGTCATGATATGCCTCCCCTCCCCCAAGGCTGTTGTTAATGAGTCAGACAGGACCTGTCTGTGGAAGAATCAGCCTGATCATAGCTCACGGAGCCAGTATCCTGCCTGTTATTCCTTCCCCCACTAGCTCATGGGTAGAAATTGAACCACTAAGTGGTGATAGACTGGTATTCTCACTGCCTCTGTTCTCCCTTCCACCTCCACCCAAAGCAGAAGAGTTGTTGCCTTGGGAGTCTTTGGCTTGGCTTCTCCCTCAAAGTATCTCTCTCCCCAGATTCTTCAAGGAATGGCCTGACTATAGGACCTCCAGCCAGAATAGAAGTTACACCATGGAATTGAATTAAGTAGATGCTTGAAATGCTAATTGCAGAGTAGAAGCTCAGTGACCACTGCCCTCCTGCCCTGGGAGCTCCCAGCAGGTTGTCTCTTAAGTCCAGGCCCCTCCCCTACTGCACATTTGGGTGCAGGTATTGCCCCTTCCCCCTGCTCTGGGAGAGCTTGTTGCACAGAACCCAGGATGGGCCTGTGCATGAGCTTTAGCCGAGACACTGAATGAGAGTTTGACCACTGGCCCTTTGCCCTGTTTTGCTCACGGACCCCAGTAAGACACAGGAATGGGCAAGGTTTAGATAAACTCCCTGGGCTGGGACCAGGACAGCTGCTGCTCAGCTGTTCAGCTGCTCGGCTTTCTCAGATGGAGTAAGCTAGGACCTAGCTCCCAATTTATGGCAACAAATTGTAATTGATTGTCATGTAACAATCAATTGGAAGCCTGTGCAGGTTTGGTAGATAGGAAAGGTATTCATTCATCCTTTACTCCAGCAGAATCTAGCCCAGAGTTTCATGCTCATGGGTCTGTGATTTAAGGTTGGGATGAGGCTTTCCCAGGGTGATAATGAGGCTAATTAGAGAGGAGATATACCTGGCACTGGAAGTTTAGCTCTTCCACTTCCTCCTTGATGTTTCCAAGAAGGTGGAGGAACACAGGATTTCCAGTGGGGCCAGGCAGCTTGTTAAGTTCAGTCCCTCTGTGGTGGCCTCCACAGAGAAGGGTTTGGTTGAAAGCAGAATTACCTCCCTAAGGATCCCAGCTTTAGGGTTTTGTCCTACAAGGAAGATTCTTTCAGGCAATAATAGAAGAGAAGAAAGTGAAAAACAGGCACTGTCTCTTCAACCCTTTTGACCTCAAGGTCCGAGCTAGCCTTCCAGCATCTCCCAGTGTCAAGAATCTGGCAAGCGGCATTTTGGGCTGACTTTCTTTCATTAAAGCAGAAAGGTAGAACTACACAAAGAAGCAGGTATGATCCAACTTGGACCTAAATTCTTTGCCTTTGTCTCTCTCCCCTCCCTCCCTGCCCCCTTCTTCTCCCCTTGCCCTCTGGCCCTTTCCCAGGAGCTCTCCTCCAGCACCGAGAGTATTGATAATTCATTCAGTTCCGTAAGTGGGGCCAGGCTGGGACTGGGTGGCAGGCTCCCCCCATGGCCGCATTTCCTCTCCGTCCCCAGGTCTTCTGAGTCCCCAGGCCAAGCCTGGAGTTAAAAGGTGCCTTTTCTGCCTAGGAGATCAGCCCCTCCCTCCCAGGCCTCCCAGGCCTCCCAGACCTGGAGGAGTCCCCTGCCTGTCGCCAGTGCCCTGAGCCCAGGCTCAGTGGGGCTCAGTTGATGGTTTTCCCAGGAACAGCTGGGATGCAGTGTGATTTAGCCTCCAGCTCCTGGGCTTCTAGATCAAACAGCTGGGAGAGAGGTCGAATTTACCCCTGGGTTGATGCCAACAACTGCTTGGCAGAAACCCTTGGGATCCTGTTTCTCCCACCCAGGACCCTTTCCCCATGGCCTCTGCCATCAGACCATCAAATATTTATTCAGTGTTTTCTAAATGCTAGGCCCTGTGCTGGGTGAGCTGATTCCAAAAGCAAACAGGATTTGGCCTGAAGGAAAGTTTTACCTCCCCACAGCCCAGTTTTCTTTTTAACTTCACCCACATTTCTTCCAGGTCTGAGTTCTTCCCTTTCCCAGCTCCCTGCCCGGGATGTTCCTTAATCATCATTCTCCTTTCTTGTTGCCTCTGGAATAACCCCTGACCCTCTGGTCCCACAGGGTCTTGGACCTTGTTGCTGGGCAGAGACGTGAGAGGAAATGCTGGACCCTCTGGGAGTTTGGATGATTTTTTTTTTTTTTACATTTTAATTTTGATTTGTCTACCCAATCTGTTTTCTCTGTTCTGTGCTGATCCCCTTTCAATCATGATTCCTATCTCCTCCCATGTGGCAGAGCCTGTCTCTAGAGGCCTGGGGTCACATTTCCAACATGCTCATGTAACTTAGGGGCCCCCACCCAAATGCTGATTTGAAGATGGGAAGGAATTCTGCCTTTTAAAATCTGAGATAACTATGAATTGGTTGGGGTGGAGGATCCTTGGGACAGTGACCATTTGCCACCTGAGTGGACGGATTAGGGGATCAGGATGAATGAAGAAGTGAGCCCTCTTCCTTTCATTCTCTTTCTGTTAGGCCCCTGGCATATTTCCAGGGACCACAGAAGCCTAGTTCTGTTTTCCTGTATCTCTTTTCAATCCTGCCTCCCAAAGCATTCGTGACTGATTCAGACACCCTATTTCATTATTGTGGGGCCCCAGAGTTGGGCCCCAGAGCCAGCCCCCTGTGGGCTATAGGCTGAGAGATGAGCTTTTTGTTCCTTTGAACCTGGCTCTGCACACATGCAGAGATGGGCCTGGTACTGCCCAGCTTTCAAAAGAAGCTCTTTTTTGCAGTTTGAGGGAGTGTGGGTAGAAATTCTCAATCAGGAAACTAAACAAGACACAGAGAGGGAGAGAAAAGCCTGGTGAGTGAAATACTGTTTCTGTGAACAGAGGAGATACTGTTCTTATCTAGCTGAGGGGGGATGGGATGGGGAGCTGGGTGGCTATCTCGATAAAATGCCCCTTATGGTAGAAGGACTTAGATGGGGGAAAGAGCCCCTCTTCATGCCTAGTTGAGTCCATCTTTTTCCCCACCCCCACCTCACTCCCCAGACTGACTTTGCCCTTTCTGGGAATGACAGAAGTGCCCAGCACGAGGAACCAAGCTCACAACAGGGAGCAAATGTGCGGACCCTGGTCCTGAGGTTTATGGGAAGAGGACCCAGGAGGAATCACAGAAAAGAAACAGGCCTTCAGGGCTATCGTTGAGGAGTGAAAGGAGCATTGCTTTCTCCACCCACCTCCCACATCAGCCTTCCTCCGTCTGCTTTTTCTTTCCTCATTTATCATTCCTTATTAATCACAAGTCTGCTCATCCTCTCCTCATCTCCTGCATGTGCATTGACTTCTTGTAAGAGATCATGGTGGGGACGGGAATGCCATGTAAAGCAACAAAAGTCATTTGAATGTAGCGTGTCCTCCTTTGAAAGGGGAACTATTGCCTCAGAGCTCCCCTCCCTAGCCTTGGGCAGAGCCCCAGCCCAAGATCCAGATGGGGAGAGGGACAGCCCCATTCTGAAGATGGGTGAAGCACTTTAGGTGTAAGCAGCTCTTCTCTCTGGGGCCCTGTAACCTCTCTGGTGGGATGTTGTCCCCCCACCTAGCCATCTTGAAGCCTTGGGATAGTTCCTAAGGAACTCAAGTCCAAGAGAAGAGGGGTGCATCCCAGTCACCTGGATTCACACCTTCTTTTACCCTCAATAAACAGCCTGTGGAAAAGGAATATGCTGGCTCTTTTACCTGTTCCCGATTTACCTGTTCCCAGGGGTGGGGTGGGATCTACTAGGGCTGAAAAGTAGCTCCTTCCCTGAAGTTCTCCAAACACGGTTCTCTGGCCTGCATGGCCAGGAGTGACTGAGCGGGTGGGCCACTTTTTGCTATGGTTTCTTTACCATCCTTTACTTCACCCCAACCCCCTGTAGCCTGTCAGACTGGCTCCTGAGCGAGAATTCATCAAGTCCCTGATGGCAATCGGCAAGCGGTTGGCCACGCTCCCCACCAAGGAACAGAAAACACAGCGGCTGATCTCAGAGCTCTCCCTGCTCAATCATAAGCTCCCTGCCCGAGTCTGGCTGCCCACTGCTGGCTTTGACCACCACGTGGTCCGCGTGCCCCACACCCAGGCTGTTGTCCTCAACTCCAAGGACAAGGTAGGTGGGCTCTACTCCATGGTTGTCCAGGGTTTGTGTCTATGCCCAGATGTGCTCCATCAGCATCTTAGACTCCTTTATGGTTCATGTGCATTTGTCCACCTTGACTTTACCTCGTGCTGTTGTGATTCTGGGGACCCTTTTGTTCCCCTTCTTGGGCTTTGTTTTTCTGGATCAGAGGGTTGATCTTCCTAACTCACCTCTTGCCATGTCTCAGGAGAAAGTTACTTTCCACCCTCCTTAACAGTCCTTTTGGTAGCTCTTCTACAGCCCTCTAGAACTCATAGGCTTTCCAGGTGTAGCAACATGAGAATAGAGAAATCTTTTCTTTCTAAGACTTTATCTGAACAGAGTGGCCAAGGAGAAGGGGAGAATTATGCCTTATTTACATTGGAGAAAATTAGCTAAATTTGTCTGCTGGTTGGAATGAGTATTAATGGTTCAGATTTTTCTTTTAAAAGTATTGAAGAGCAGACCCTGCTTGGAACAGTGCCCCCATCTTTCCCAGTCTTTTTGTCTTTAGGACAGGCACCCAGAGGCTTCAGGCCTCTTTGATGGGTTATAATTGATAGTTTGGAGTGGTTTCACCCAAGTGCATCATCTATGCATTTGAAGCTCAGCTGAACCATTTTGAAGACTTGGGTGCACTTTCTCATTCTTTTTTTTCTCACACTCATTCTTTATATAGGTGTTCATAAGACAAGAGTCTACCCTAACTATGGCGTTCATAGTGTCAGGGGACTGATGGTTGAGGGTTGAAGCTAGGAGTGGGCAGCAGGAAGAACTGTGTAACAGAGTTGAGATTTAGGGGACAGTGGTACAGGTGAATTGCAAATACTGTTCTCACTTTTCCACAGGCTCCCTACCTGATCTATGTGGAAGTCCTTGAATGTGAAAATTTTGACACCACCAATGTCCCTGCCCGGATCCCTGAGAACCGAATCCGGAGCACACGGTCCGTAGAGAACCTGCCCGAATGCGGTATCACCCATGAGCAGCGGGCAGGCAGCTTCAGTACTGTGCCCAACTATGACAACGATGATGAGGCCTGGTCAGTGGATGACATAGGCGAGCTACAGGTGGAGGTAGGGAGCTCAAGGATGTAATACTGGGGCACAGCACCTATTCTCCAGGGGCTTCCAGTGTATGTGAGACAAGACGACACACCCTGAGGCAGGCTGAGGCAAGCGCCCGAATGAGAAGGGTAGGTAGTATTGGGTATGAAAGGGGAAGGCTCTGAAGAGCCCTAGTCTGGAGTAGATTCAGGTGGAGTTCATTTTCCTGCAGGAGGAATTTAGGTTAAATGTAAGGAGGAACTGCCCTGGCTAGTGTTGATCAGTGATTAGAGCATCGGCCCATGCATCAAAGGGTCTTGGGTTTGATTTCTAATCAAAGGCAAGTACCTGGGTTGCAGGTTCAATCCCTGGCCCCGGTGGGGGCAAATGTGGGAAGCAACCAATCTGCCTCTCTCTCCCTCCATTCCTCTCTCCGATTCCCCCTCCCTCCCTTCCACTTTCTCTAAAAATCAATGGAAAAAATATCCTCAGGGGAGGATTAACAAAACAAAAAAATATATATAAGGAGGAACTTCTAAGCTGAGGAGTGAGAGAAATTTAATCAAAATATTTATTTAACATCTGCTATATAAACTTGTTTTAGGAAAGCAGAGAATGGTAAGTTATACATTTGTTCATTCATTGAAGAACTATTTTTGGAGGCCTTCTTTGTGCCAGTTCTGAATGCTGTATGCTAGTGAACAAGACCCGGCCCCTGCCTACAAGGAGCTTCTGACCTAATAGGAGAGAGTAGACGATTAGTCAGCAGGTAGTTGTAGTATGGTGTGATCCAGGTTATGCTGGAGAGGATGGGAAATATGAGAGCACTTGCTGGTGGGGGTAGCACTCCAGACTTGGGGTTGGACACACCCCAAAAGATTTTCTGAAGGAAGTAATGTCTCAGCTGAGGCCTAAAGAGGGGTATGAATTACCTGGACTGAGTATTCAGGCAGAGGGGATAGCATGTGCAATGACTGGAAGACTAGAGAGCTTGGCTGGTCTTAGGAACTGAAAGAAATTTTGTATGATGTGTGAAGTGGTGACAAATGAGGCTGGAGAGGCCAGCATGGGTCAGATCAGAGGCAGGATCCTGTAAGCTGTGGAAAGAAACTTGGACTTTATTCTGGGTTGTATGGAACCAGAGAAGGATTTTATGTAGCTCTGTGACACAACCACCTCTCACTTTGGGAAAAGACAGACTCTTTGTCCTTGAGCTTACAGTCCAGTTGGGGAGATTGGACACAGATATTTAAGAAAAAAATGTGTAAGATATACAACAAGGCAGTGTGCAGTGTGACAAATGGAGTTGAGGAGAAATGCTCTGGTACAAAGGAAGGAGAAAATAAGCAACTTGATAGTTAGAGGGAGAGGGGGAGATTAGATTGAAGAAATGGTCATGGAACCTAGTCTGGAGAGAGTCTGTTTTGGACCCTGAGGGAATGCAGCCCTAGCCTTGGGGAGTTCTCAGTATAAGACTGAAAGTTCTGCTTTCTGTGGTGATCACAGCAGTGGTTTGCAAACCTGAGTGTGCTGGGAGTCTAGAACTTGTTAAAAATTCAGACTTCCAGCCTGGCCGGAGTGGCTCAGTTGGTTGGAGTGCTGCCCTGTACACTAAAAGGTTGTGGGTTCAGTTCCTAGTCAGGGCGCATAACTGGGTTTCAGGTTTGAGCCCTGGTCAGAGCATGGAGCACGTACGGAATTGGTTTCTCATATCAATGTCTCTCTGTCTCCCTCCCTCCGTCCCTCCCTCCCTCCCTCAAAGCAGATCCTTGGGTGAGGATTAAAAAGAATTCAGACCTCTGGATCCATTCCCAGTAATTCTAATCCAGATTGATGGTGCTATAGGGGAATCTGGTTTTAGCAGCATTCCAGGTGTTTCTGATACAGGTAGTTCACACTTTGAGAAACACCAGTGTAGGGCCTATGTGAGTGCCTACGCAGTTTGGGGTCCAAGTGATCAGGATGGTGTGTAACCAGGGAGGCTTTTTGGAGCGGAGTTAGGAAGAGAGGGATGTTCATGACCTGCAGATAGAAAACACTCGGGGTGATCTGTGGAGGGTTTGAAAGAAGTGAGACCGGTGCCTAGCGCTTCTGACCTACCATCCCCTGCTCTCCCCAGCTCCCTGAAGTGCACACCAACAGCTGTGACAACATCTCCCAGTTCTCTGTGGACAGCATCACCAGCCAGGAGAGCAAGGAGCCTGTGTTCATTGCAGCAGGGGACATCCGGTATGGCCAGACCCACTGCCTCATTTTGCATCCCTCTGTAAGGAGCTGCCTCTCTTTCTCTTCTTCCTTTCAGTCGGCCTGTGTCTTTCCCTTTTCCCTCTCCTTACTTTGTTCTTGTCCTGAGGCTTCCAAACTTGAGGCAGTGAAGGGGCAGATGGAGAAATTACTGGGCTGCTACAGAAGGAAATTAAATGTTAAAAGGACTCCAAAGGAATGAAAGCAGCAGAGGGAGGAATTAGAGCATTGTTTCTCAGAGTGGGTCTGAGGACTACACATGTCAGAATCAGAGAGAGAGACCTTGTTGAAAATGCAGATGCTGAAGCCAGAGCTCTTCTCAACCAGAATCTTAGTAGAGGAATGGTGAGGTGATTTGCATTTTATCATGATCCCAAACCACTAGGTTAGCAAAAAGGTATCAGTGGCATGTTTCCTTCCATGAGTCTCTCAGGCTAGGTTTCTATGTCTGTGCTTAAAATCAAGGAAATAGTGTGGGAAATGCTGCCATAGACAGGAACATGAGGCTCAGGGTAACTCCTCCAAACAAATGATGATGTTTCTTCTTGCTAGACGGCGCCTTTCAGAGCAGTTGGCTCACACCCCCACAGCCTTCAAACGAGACCCAGAAGATCCTTCTGCAGTTGCTCTCAAAGAGCCCTGGCAGGAGAAAGTGCGGTAAGTTGGGGGGTGGGGTAGGGTGTCTTTAGCCCTCTCAAAGCTTGGAGGCCACTGCAGATACTCACTGTGCCATCCCAATATCCATTGGGCTCTCCCCAAATCCATCAGGCTCCCAGGCAATCCAAGTCCTTGCCTTGGGGGAGTTGGATTTTGATTTTTGGTGGAAGCTGTGTCTCTGTCCTCACCTTCTGACACCATTTGCTTCTCTCTACACAGGCGTATCAGAGAGGGTTCCCCCTACGGCCATCTCCCTAATTGGCGGCTCCTGTCAGTCATTGTCAAGTGTGGGGATGATCTTCGGCAGGAGCTGCTGGCCTTCCAAGTGTTGAAGCAACTGCAGGTAAGGAAAGGGAGGGAGAAAGAAGGGGAACTCAACCCAACTGCAGCCCACCTGAGTAGACCACACAGGTTGCTCTGCAGGGAACTCTGCTGAGGACCAGCTTCCCAGCCCAGGTCTAAATTGAGTAGATTAAACTAAAGTGGTTGCTCCTTGGCTGGTGTACTTCCCCGGGAAGTACAGCCACAAAGACAGCTCCACAGCGACCTCTTGTGGCTCTTTTGTGACTTGTACCCTGATCACCAAACTTCAGGGTACTTGGCTTTGTTCCTTAGTCAAAACTTCCATCTGAAAAATTCATAAACACAGACAACAGTATGGTGGTAGCAATTTTATTAACCAATGTTACCCCAATAAATTCAATAAAATAAATAAATAAATACTCCCATCTGGTCTTCATAAGTGGGTTGCAGTGTGCTGAGACGTCAGTCCCCTGAGACTCTGGGTTGGTTGCCTGCCAGCAGCTTCACCTGTTTAATCCAGTTCCTTATATAAATATTTTCATTTTCTGTGGACCTAAATCCTTTTCCATATTTTCTCTATTTGAATTTGGGTTAATAGCTCCCACACTCGCTGCTCGTGTGGTTTCTGTTCTCCCTGCCTTTTGGGGACTGTCTACCTATAAGATGCCTTTTCCCACATACCTCCCTGAGTCCTATCAGGCCCTGGACCTCCTTAAAAACTCCCTGGTCCTCAGTGGGTTTTACTCACTTGGTGGCCTAGAATCCAAAGCCACCACTGCTGGGAACTGTCCAAGGTTGGGGATAGAGGAGGGTGTTAGCCTCCTCCCCCAATTTCAATGAAAGGTGATGGTCCCAATGCTTCTGTGTCTCCTCGCAGTCCATTTGGGAACAGGAGCGAGTACCCCTGTGGATCAAGCCATACAAGATTCTTGTGATTTCGGCCGATAGTGGCATGATTGAACCAGTGGTCAACGCTGTGTCCATCCACCAGGTGAAGAAACAGTCACAGCTCTCCTTGCTTGATTACTTCCTGCAGGAGCATGGCAGTTACACCACTGAGGCATTCCTCAGTGCCCAACGCAATTTTGTACAAAGTTGCGCTGGCTACTGCTTGGTCTGCTACCTGCTGCAAGTCAAGGACAGGTAGGTAAATCCCTGCCCCTCATCCTGACCTTTTTTCCAGGGTTCCTTCATGTGTAGTTCTCTTATGCTCACCACCACCTTCCATTGCCAAGATGTAAAAGATTGTTCAAAGAACATGTTTTCGGCAGAGACAGACATGTTCACGTGCCATTAAGCCAAGGAGACAGACTGACAAGTACTAGGGTAAAGGAGCAAAGACATGAAGGATTTATGGGAGAGGCAAGGGTTTGAGCAAGCAGGCTCCTGAAGGATGGAGAGCGAGGGCAGGTAAGGACTCTCCAGGCAGAGGAGCAAGTCAGTGTGATTAAGGCCTGGGCTTCTAACCGGGTAGCTCAGTTGGTTAGAGCATCGTCCTGCTATGCCAAGGTTGTGGGTTTGATTCCTGGTCAGGGCACACACAAGAATCAGTCAGTGAATGCATAAATAAGTGGAACAACAAATCGATGTTTCACTCTGTCTCTGTCTCCCACCACCCCCTGCTTCCCCCTTTCTCTCCATTTCTCTCTCTTGCTGTAAAATCAATCAATAAATAATAATAAAATTTTTAGACAAAAAATTTTAAGAAAAGCTTGGGCTCTGCTGCCTGGCAGGAGAATAGTAGGAAGTGATGTCAGACAGGTATGTAGAGGCCAGGTTAGAAGGGCCTGCACAATGAGGCTGAGGAGTTTTATTTTGCAGGTGGAGGAATGACATGACCCAGTCTCTGTTTGGTGGGTGCACACTGTGGAGTCCACCCTGTTGGATGTAGTTAGGCTTTTAGCAACAAAGCAGGAGGTAACAAGTCCTGACCTGAGGGTGTGGTAGATATGAGAGGCATGGTGGAGATGATGTTTAAACTCCCAACCCTGAAACTTTTTTTATTCCAATATAAGATTTTCAAAACTTTTAAGTATTTATTGCTTTGTCCAGAGCTGTCCCTCTCAATATCACATTACCTTTATGAGGCCCAGCTCTGCATATGGGTGAGCAACATACGGTACAAAAATAATTCTACCCAGACAGTGACTCGGTCAGTACCCCAAATGCTTCTGTGAGCTACACCTCTCATGGGGCATAGGGCAGCTGCCCTGGGAAGGCAGAAATACAGTGGCCTGAGCTTCCAGAGTTCCCAGTGACATGGCGGCACTTTAAGATCTGGCTAACAGCGCAGCTTATCAGAAATCTAGCATCTATTAAGTGCCTGCCATGGCCTGACAGTCTTATATTGAAACCAGCTGAAAACCCTGTCAAGACAGGTGTTTTTCTATGAGAGAACTGAGGGTCGGGGAGCCTTCAGAACCTGCACTCATTCCACCTGGCCAGTCCTACAAATGAACCCAGTGGAGGCTCTGCATTTGAGGGCTGAAGGGACATGTAATTATTTATAAGGAATTTGGTTACAAGCTTTAGACTGTCCCTAAAGAGTCAGGGTTTTGAATCCAGGGCCCAGAGAGCCTAGAACTGAGCAGCAGGATTGAGTAAATGGGTGGCAGGGAAGCAGGTGCTGGTCAGGCTTCTGGGCTTTCCTTTAGGAAATGAAGATATTTGGAAGATTAGGGTCCATCCTTTAAAAAAGGAGGATAGGGGGATAGGCAGCTGAGAAACCTTTCCTAATAACTCAGAAAAGGACAGATGTAGTCAAGCCATGGATGGGATCAGCCAGTGGAAAGAACTGGCAACAATGCACAGGGCTCCAAACTGGAAGGTTTAAGATCTCTTTAACCGCTTCAACATGAGTCCTCAACTATCTCAGCAGTTAAGAAAAGAGAGAAACTGCCCTCACTGGCCTCAGGACCTTAAGCAGCCAAGTGTTTCTCTCAGGGCCTATTCTCTCACCTGTAAAATGAGAGGTTGAGCTAAGACACCTAGAACCTTTCTGGCTCTCAGGCTTGTGCCTTTGTGGCTAAATTTGTAGTGCTTTCCTAGAGTAGAAAGGACTCAGATGGGACTGGGTTCTTCAGTCCCTCCTTTTTTGGCCAGTCAGATCAACCCCGGAGAAGATGGCCCTCAGACGTTGAGCTCTTAGCCTAACAAAGCCTCTGTTGACACTGAGGAGGTTGGTTGTCCTGAATGGGCCAGGCCTCACATGCTTAGCATGTTAATTGTTCCTCCTCCGACTGGCCATTCATGTGGGAATCACAAAGACCTGGACTCATCTTTAACTCTCCTCTTCCTGCAGCTGGCCTGTGGTCAGCGCAGGCTGACATTTCTTACTGTAGTGATGACCAGATAGTTAAAACTTACCCGTGAAGCCTCTGCACTATTCTACACTTAACTCCCAGCCTGCCACTCCCTTCTGGTGCTGATTTGCTTGGGCTGGTAGGAATCACAGATAAAATAGGCATAACTAGGTTCTGACTGGAGGCCTCCTTTGAGCCAATTGCTTGGTCTCTATGACAGCTGGCTGGAGCCTCAAAGGTTTTCTTCCCTTGCTGCTGGGTTTTCTACTAGATTGGGATCAATTTGGGTGATTGAATTACAATTTTTGGAAAATTGGGATAATCTTAAACTATTGTCAATAATAGTGATTGCAGACCCCACAGCCTTTGTTAGCAGTTTACTTTTCTGATTTCCTGTTTCTGCTGCTAGCTTTAGGTCCTAGGAGGTTGGACCCAGGTTATAGCAACAGGAAACATGGCAGGGGACTCCCCTGCCTGGTGTCATGTGGCCAGTGTGTTGCAGCTTAAGGCTTCCACCTCAGGCTTAATGCCTCTTCCTCTCCTTGGCCCCTTCAGGCACAATGGGAACATCCTTTTGGACGCAGAAGGCCACATCATCCACATCGACTTTGGCTTCATCCTGTCAAGCTCACCTCGAAACCTGGGCTTTGAAACGTCAGCCTTTAAGCTGACCACAGAGTTTGTGGACGTGAGTTAGGAAGGAGAGGTGCCTTACTGTGTTCTTTCTCTGTCATGGGAGGGGGAGCTGCTGGGCTCCCCCCAAATTATGGGGGAAAAAGAACAGAAATGGCAGTAAGTCAGGGTGAGGCTGGGTGCCCTGGGAGGCTTCCTGCCTGCTGAGAGAGTTGGGAAGTAATGGGGTTTGGTGGGTTTGTCCTGATGGAGGAAGGAGTTCTGGCTGGCTAGGGGTACACTGAGCCCTAATACCCACAACTTTTTTCTCCCCTCCCAGGTCATGGGTGGCCTGGATGGCGATATGTTCAACTACTATAAGATGTTGATGCTGCAGGGGCTGATTGCTGCTCGGAAACACATGGACAAGGTGGTGCAGATCGTGGAGATCATGCAGCAAGGTGGGGCTGGGGAGAGGCCAGGTGTTGGGATAGGGTGGGCCCAGCATGGAATTTCCAGGAAGTTCATTCCACCTCAAGACTCCAGGCGGGCAGGGGTGGGTGCCCAGCTCTGATCCAGTGCTATTTCTCCTTCCCGACATGCCTCCTGACAGAGCTAGGTCCTGGGCATAGTCCCCAGAAACTACCTCCTGGACACACTCAGGGAGAGAACAGTCCCATCTCCAGCCCGTTGTTCCCATCCCATCTCCTTATCCCTTGTCCAACTCTTTGTTTCTTCCCATCCAACTCTTGACCAGCTCAGATGTTTCTGGTCACCACTTTCCTCCCCACTGGGCTTTGACCTCCAATTGCCCTGTCCTCAGGCCCCTTCCATGTCCTGATACTCACCCCTCCTGCTCTGGGTATTTTCTCCGTCATCTACTCTCACTGTGCTCTGTCTTCGTTACCTTGTCATCTATTTTGTCCAGGTCCCTCCTCTCCCAGCCTTCTGAGCCCTTGTCCCCACCCCTCTTTAAGGCTGCATTGTACACCCAGTCTGAGCTGCCAGTCTCCTCCTCCTCCCCATCCCTGCCCCCACCCCACAGGTTGTCGCCGTTGCTCAGGAGCATCCCTGTCTGGCCCCATGACGACGGTGGCCCAGGTCATCTGTGAGTGTCAGACGTAGCATAGGCAGAGCCCTGCAAACCAGATAAGTGCCCAGTTCAGGGCCCATTCCCTAGAACCTCTTCCCAGCCTTCCCTCTGGGTCCTAAGACTCTGTTCCCTCAGCTGTTACTGGGGGAGATGTGGTATTGGCCCTCTGCCTTCCTCTACCTCAGGCCCTCACCTAGAGGGGTTTTGGAGTGTGGCATGAAGATGGGCGCAAGACAGGGCCTCCCACCAGTTCTTCCTTCTCTGCCCAAACAGAATTGCATCCGCACGCTCAGGGGTCTAAGGTTTTTGCTGTGGCTGTTACCACTGCCCCTCCCTCCTTTTGGTCCATGACCCTCTGCCCTCACTGCCTCCACCAGGTTCTCAGCTTCCTTGCTTCCACGGCTCCAGCACCATCCGCAACCTCAAAGAGAGGTTCCACATGAGCATGACTGAGGAGCAGCTCCAGCTGCTGGTGGAACAGATGGTGGACGGCAGCATGCGATCTATCACCACCAAACTCTATGATGGCTTCCAGTACCTCACCAACGGCATCATGTGACACTCTTTCTGAGGCCCTAGAGTGGTGGGGCATTCAGGGGACCCTCCCTGGGAGAAACCCCAAACCAGGAAACCC